AAGCTGGAATGGAGTGATTGATTACTTTATCTTTGAGTTTACTCTTTTAGGTCATCGGAAATAATTACTGTATGACTGTAATTCGTTTTGAAATAACACCTGTAATACTTTGCGATTGCTCGAATTCAAGTAACAGGTGCACTAGTCTTTTCAGATTTCAGATAGAATAGGTGTACTGGTAGTATTTTATAAATTTGTTTATCAGGAAAATGCTATCATAGCTCCTCATGCTTTAAATAGCCTAGATGAAATATTTACTTATAGATGATTTGTTATAAAAAAGGTAATGTTTAAAAAATGTAAGGTCCATTTTTAAATAGATAGAATACACTTCCTGTCCCAACATGTGATAAGTTATGAAATATTTACTTTAAAATTGCTTGGTTAGGAAAATAAAAAATGTCTTTTTGTGCTGGAATAATGATAAAAGATGTGGTTTATTTCCTTATATCAAGTTAAAAAATATTCAAACTCAAAATATCAGAATATTTACCTAAATGTTGTTTTAATGAATTTGTTATGTTTCTTTAATTAGTTCAAAGGCTGACAAATTTATTTTGAATAGCAAATGATTATTTAATAATTTAAAGAACCATAGGTTAAACACTCAAAATAAGGAAAATATAATTTTTTCGAAACAATGATGGTTAAAAAAATAAGTTGATAGATTCAGTAGTAATGCACTGCATTATATAACTAAAGTCAACAAGATAACCATGCATACAGGGTGTCCCATAACACCCGGCCGGCTTCTATAGCTCCAATATGAAAGCAATGTAGAAACCTAATTGCAACTGGAACCCCTTATTTTGACCTCAAGGAATTCAGCAAAATTATTTTTAAACACAAAAAAGCAACCCAAAGGGCAGATTTGGGGGGGTGGGGGTGGTTTTTGGGAATTTTCAAATGTAAAGGGGGGTTCAAATTTTGATAACACTTTAATTTGCTAAATGAGCTTTCAAAAAAACTCTGGTTTCAACCATTTGATAACTTTTTTACTTAGCCTATGCCACGCATTTTCAAAGTTTTTGAAATTCAAAAGCTGTTATCTCAAACATTTTTAATGGGAACATGTGTTTCATTACAAACCACTTTGTAGCCCTTAAAATTAGCTACAATATTTGCATTTAATGTTTTTTTGGTATCTTTATTGGTTAAAGAGCTGTAGCGAAATTAGTGTAATTTAATGTTATATTAAATGGTAATTTATTCAAAGTGTTTGCTGTTGTAAATGTACACGTCTAGGTCTCGATTAAAACTAATTAATATTTAAAAATTAAAATACTATTCAGTTTGTTAACATAATAGAAAGGTAAGAACACACCTGCAAATATTCTAAGTTATTTTACAATTCCATAGCTCTATTTGCTTTCATATTGGAGCTATAGAAGTTGGTCAAGTGGTCTGGGACACCCTGTGTAGTGGGGCTGAATGATTACTTTATGAGAATTACAGCCTCTAAGCTTAGCTTTTGATGGTTTGATACAAGAGATGTTTATTTTTAAATGAAACCCCAGATATCAGCAATAGTGTCTGGATTTTTTTTTTTATAAAGTGTTGTAAAGGTTATTCTAGTTAAAGTTTCGTCCAATCGATATCACAGACAATGGAAGAAACCAAAAGGCTTAATATATAATGCAAGATGAGTAAACCAGTCTTTTTGGTTACGCTGGAAAAAAATGTGCTAGCTACTATCAATTTTAAGAATCTTCCATTAAATTATGTGGCATTCTATTTTATATACAAAGTGCTGTGAAAGTTAATTTTTTCCATTAATCTGAAATTTAAATAAATATTAGGTAGGTACTCTTTCCCTTGTGAATGTATATAATTATTTTAAAGTAATATTATAAGTCAAACCAATTTTACAGAAGGTATTAGTATGAAAAAAAACAAGGATTCAATGACTTTATATTTCTATTTTTGTAAAATTTCTCATGCAAAATTAATATCAGTATTTTCCATCAAGGTAAAAAAGTGGAAATAAAACAGGGCTCAACTCTTCTAAGGCTTTGATCATTCAGAAAACCTTTCCACCAGATTAAATTTTGTTTACGGTATCTAAAAAATTTGAGCTAGGCTACCTGAATTTTTTATTTTGTACACTAAGTTAAATAACACACTTGCATTTGAGTGAGGGTAATTTTGTATTAAGCATCATTAGGGTACGGTAGGTATTCTTATGTAATTGATCCAAGTGAAAAATTATTAGATTTGAAAACATATCAACTAGAATCATAAGTTACAATTTCATTTTTAATTCAGCATTAACTTTTATAATTCAAATACCAATGTTTAAACTTTTTTACAATCTAGGACACCACACTTGTTTGTTACACAATGTTTACTATCTTTATTTATCTCATTGTTTTCTAATGGAAGTTTTTTGGTAGCCTAAAGATAAACAGGACAATGGCTTTTAAACACAGAATGAATCATGATCCCAATCTAGTATAAACAGTCCTAAATTTAAAATTTCAATAGGGAGTGATTTATTTATTGTTTGATTGGATAAACTAGACGCAGATGCATGCAGTTTTTATTAGAGTCATTTATTGATAGATAATTTTACACTTTGCTGTCTAGCATAATTCTGGTGGATTCCTAAAAAAAAAAAATATTATTGAATAGGATTATATTTTTTGTCTTCTAGATATTGATTGAGTTTCATTTATGAATCTTTGCTCTGCAAAGTCTTCACCTAGCCTATATATTCATTTAGCCTATGAGGGTACTACAATTTTGAATGGCATATATAAAAAAATCCTGTTGGAATCTTTTAGCATTCATAGTTTTGAAGTCTCAAATCTTCCTAGACCTTTTAGTTAAAATGTAGGTACCGTGAGAGGGGTTTCACGTAGGTAGGCCAATTGGCAACCCACTTTAACTTTATACATTAGGCCTACTACATTTCTAAATTAGCCTACATTTTTAACCATGGTTATGGTATGTCTCCGATAAGAAGGTAGACCTAAGTAACGTTAGAGAATACTGTATTATTAATGTTTAACTAGATTAGAACCCTGGGTTTCGTTCACTTTTACACAAAGTTCATTACATTTGATCTCTACTCTAAAACTAGGTAAGTTATAGACTAAAAGACAATTTTTAGCCATTGATTCTTCTTTGTCATGTTGAATTTTGACATAGGATAATACAAGTTAGGCCTACCTACCAAGTAGATGAACTTTAAGTTAGTAGGTATTTTCTTACACACAATACATTACATAGCTTAACTTAGCCTACCTAAGTTAATGTTTAAAGCCTAGCCTATCTGTCATCACCAATTTTTATTGAAATTAAACTAATTTCTTTCAATCTAACTACAAATATTCTATAATTTTACAGAATTTGGTCAATTAAATTGGGAAAATGGTAATAAATCAAGCGTCTGCCAACATCATGATAATGTTTAGTGATGACGATGGAAGGTGAGCAGACGACAGCTTGTACTACTGATAACGATACAGTCACAGGTAGGCTAGACCTAATGTCAATAACTATGCCAGGTGCGCGAGCTGGCAGCAGTTCCGCATTAACCTAGAGTAAAAATACAAATACATACTTTACAGTAACACTTACAGGGCCGGATTTCCCAATAGGCCCGGTAGGCCCGGGCCTATGGGCGCAAGGTCCCAGAGGGCGCACGGCCGAGATTAAATTTTTTTATACCTAGGCTATCTAAAAATAAAAAGTCATAGTTGATAAAAAAAATCCAAAGCATTGTGATTCTGAAGTTCATAAGAAGAAATAATTGTTAGGAAATTTACACAATTTTTCAGAATTACGCATAAATTTCTTTACAAAATTGGTAATGAACATTGGTTATACGGGAGTAGGCTGTAGGGATGTCTAGTCTATGCTGGCTCGGGCTCGGACTCGGCACTACTGATCAGAGTGATTAGGGGCGCATGCGTGCTAGACATTGTTCCACCCTCACCTCACAAAACAAAAGTTATTACCTAATCTTTTGATTAGTTTACAACCATCTGCAGGATCAAGTTAAAATATATAATAAGTTGTGTTGAATATTAAAACAACTATGAATTTACCTTAACAATTTACGAAAAAATATTAATCTCACTTTGCATTAGATTTTAGAAAAATTCAATACCCTGCAAATCACCATTAATGCTGTCATTTTCTCCTCAGACCTAAGGATCGGTACGGTTGGCAGGGATATTGCTCTATTTTGGAAATATAATCTAGATGCAGTAAGACCGTAGATTAAATATAACTCAAGTCGACTTCTTATGACACTGTTAATTCAAAATTTGTTCATGTCTAGTTCATGTTGGTACTGGACGTTAGTTTTGACGTAATTTTGTTTCTATTATTTTAGGGTTAGTTCTATATGATGTGATTTTTAATTTTTTGTAATATAAACAGGAGACGACCTATTGTTGGTAATAAATTAGATCGTTTTATTTTGGATAAACTATGTTTGAACATAGATAAATAAAACATACTCCTTAAATAAGAAGAATTGTTTTCAGTTAATCCAAAATGATGACAAATCTACTTAAGTAGTATGTTCAATCTATGGTATCACGTACTGTATAGAGTTCATGTTTTTGGGCCTGGACTTAGAATCAATGGCCATGTTTTTTTGCAGGAATGTTCGGTGGGGTGAGCTATGTTGTTTTGCTTCAGTCCCACGGCCACAAACGTGAGCATTTATTAAAAGCATAAAATTGCTAAAAGTGTTTAAGACGGCGTTTTGTTAAGGCTAAACAAGTCAATAGTCAATTCAAAAAACAAATTTGCAATGATTCCAACGAGGAGTGGTATTCAAGCAATTAACTTATGACTATGGACATGATATAGTTTTTAATAAAAGTTTTAAAGGAAAGTAACTGTGACCAGACTAGGAGGCGGAAAATTATTTGGGCCTAGGGGCGCAAAAATGCTAAATCCGGCCCTGAACACTTAAGTCTATCACTGAAAATTATACGTTTTTACCTACCTACTGAAAGGTAATTTGATGGCCTATGTCTTACCTTAGTAACTTGGAAGTTATCCGGGCGTAGTGTTTCAACAATCTCCTGTTCTGGCCGAGGCTGTTGGCTGACAGATGACCGCAAACCGTCTAACACGCGTTGGAACGTAAACTTCTTCATTTCTTTTTCACTAATTTACATATATCCATTTAATTACAACAAGAACATGACAAACGGTGCCTCGTCACCACATACTAAAATACACAACAACTCGATTCAGTCGTCTGCTGCTGATCGCAAATACTGCAGCGGGGAATGCTGGGAATGCACAGTCAGTGGGCAAAATTCTACTGCGACTGTCACAACTCACATTTTTTAAATTCTCATTTAAACAGCAAAGGACCGAATTATAGAAGACACAAACAACAATTTTACGTAAATTATACGCTTTTAAGTACAAATTACAAACTATTTCTTTTAAGAAACGCTGCTACTAACCATTTTGTCCCAAAATTGATGGATCAATACCGAGCAACCAGCTGTGCTAAACAGCTGTTTTCGTAAACACTAGAGTAAACATAAGAAGACATAAGTTGTGCAGTTGTGTGATACTGCTATTTATTTACGCTTAATATTCTGTCGTTGTTTTACATATTAATTTTGTCAAACACTACAAAAATGATTTTAAAATTTGGACAACAGCTGGGAAAAGTTTATAGTGTAGTTTCAGTGATTGGGACTGCACATAAAAACAAATTGAGGTTAGTTTCCATAACCTAACTTTCTTATACATCTTTCAATAAAGGCCAACTCAATTAACACCTCTAAAGACATACATATATTATAATACATAATTTAGTATGATCTAGGTAATTTTATAACACTATCCCCATCCAGGAATAAACATTGTTTTTATCCCCTACAATAGGCTACCTACCAAACCTATCCTTCCTGAGTTAGGCTAAGTTAAGGTTTATGTTTTTACAGAGAGCCTCCTATTTGACCTACTAGGCCTAATCCAATATTATTCTAATAATTCTGAGATCTAAATCAACAAATAAGGTGTAGGTTGTATGAGAGTTGATCTATAATTTATCGATGCGTCAGTTGGTATTAAGATTGTCACATAAGTTAACTTAACTTATGGTTTGTCGCTTTCAGCTTCAGCTTCAACACAGAAGATTGTTGGGTGCCAGGAACCCAACAATTATTAAAGAACCAACAGAATTCGTTAACTGAAGGATTATTAACAGGATCTGTGTGTGTTACTTAGCCTAACCCAAAAGAGATAAGTAAAGCGATGGAAATTGGTTCTTTACTGAAAATTCAATTATTAACGGATACATTCGGCCTACCCCAAAAAGGCCTATATGGCTTAACGCTAACCTATCATAAAGTGATAAAACACATTGCTGGCAATAGACCTAGGCCTAAATATAATGTAGGTAGTTTAAAATCACATGAGTAGGTGTAGGTAAACTTACCTGCAGAAAATACTTTTTGTTCATCGATTGCTGACGATGCTGGACCTCATTAGGTGGAGATTACACAGGACAGCTAACTTATTCAGTAGCCACTGTATTGTATCCATTTTGTAAACCGGTCTAAACTGTTGGGAAATAAATAAAATAAGACAACTTGCATCCCCAGAAAAAGTCTTAACTTATGAGGGTTTACATTACCTAATGCTTAGTAGGTAGGCCCTAAATCAGTAAGCTAGTTTTAATTTGATAACAAATTAGCTTTCTTAAAACAAACCCAAACCATTTCCATTAGGCTACCACAATCCTCCCATTATGATTGTTACCAATTTGAATGTGGCAGAGCGGCTTCTTTTAAAGTTGTGTAAAAGAATATATTTAAACCTGTTTATATTTAATAAGTACCGGTAGCCTAATTTTCGTTATTTTGCAGGTATATTGCTGCCGCTATGTTTGGTACTGGTTTTTTATTATATGAAACCTCAAAACATAAGGTAGAAATGTCAAGTTCAAAAATTAACATATCAGATTTCATGGCAGCACCTATTACTGATGTAGCCACTTTAGAAAAAAATAGTTCTGATATGAAAGCCAGGATGGAACTCCTCATCATGAAAATTCAAGTAGGTTTCTATGTTAAGTGTAATGTTGCACGTTTGTCTTTAATTAGTTCACTTAGTGATACTGGGATTTGCAGATGAAATAGGTTTTAGTGAATTTTCCATATGAGGCCAAAAACACCCTCCGTTCAAATTCATATACATATATGTGTCCGTTAGCGTGATAACTCGAGCAAAAATGATCAGATTTTGATTACCGTAAATTTGGTACAAACGTGTAAATCTACGTTTATTCAAACGAGTTTGCAAACCAGCTTGATCGGACTATAGGAACGGGGGTTTATGGGGGTTTTATGGGGCCTTTGGAGAATACTTCTATGAGATTTTAATAATATAAGATAAGTAATTAGACAGCCTTAAGTTATGAAGAAGCACAGAATCTTATTCGCTATTAGTTACTAAAAACCTGTGTTATTGCCAGGCTGACTTCTGTCGGGCCCTGGAAGCTCAGGAGGACGGAGAGGCTAAGTTCCTGGTGGATCGCTGGGAGAGGCCGGAAGGTGGAGGGGGAATCACCTGTGTCCTGCAGGACGGACGAGTGCTAGAGAAAGCCGGAGTAAACATCTCGGTTGTGTCTGGAACACTGCCAGCTGCTGCGGTAGCTCAAATGAGGGCTAGGTTAGTTTTAATTCAAGCAGTGTTTTGCAGTTTTGTCTTTGCCAGCACAGTATGGTCTTTATTGCAGGGTAATATTGTAGGCTAGTTTAGTAGAATTAAACTGTAATATGAAACATTCATCAGAAAAATCACATGACCAATGTATTGCTAATATTACTGCACTAAATTTTATAAGCAAATAGAGAGGTAAAAGTTTTAGATGTACCGAACAGGACTTATTGATTAGTATTAACATCTGCCAAAATTGCAACTTGGACATTTTAAAGAAATTATTTGTTTAAGTATCACTGGACGATAATGAAAATATTTATTTGAATGCTAGGCCTTTGGCTGATTTTATTATTGCACATTGTGAAGCACAATAAAGCATTGTGTAATAATATTTTCCTAATCTACATGAAGCAGGTATTTGCAAATGCGCGTTCCCCAATCAACTACTTACCAACTCACGACTAGTGTGGATGGGTGTTTGTCTACATGCCATTTGGCAAACGTCAGTGCTCGTTATTTCCCGCTCTATGACAGGGTTTTCCAAACAGGCTGCTAGGATAGTGGGCAAATGTGTAGCCACCTCTGCTCGGAAATTGGCAAATATCTACTTAAGCCGAACTCTGCAAGTCAAATATTCGGTGCTCGGCAAAATCGTCCAGTAAATCAAAAACAAAGCCTTGAAATAAATCTTGCTGATATTGACGCTCTGTCCAGGCCTGCAATTTTGGAAGACACTATGGGCCCTAGAAATACTTTGGTCCCTTCCATTTCCGAGGAATTTTTCTCGTGCCCCCAAACAACACTGAAACCTCTGGCTCTCCTGGGCACATTTATTCAAGTGACTCTTGCTCTGTCAAAGTAACACTAACATTTCTGTATTCTTGGCACGATTCAGGACAAAACATCTGATACTTGATACTGCAGCTTGTTTTGATAAACTACTTGTTTGTAGAGGCAAGAAGTTCAAGGAGGGGGAGAAGCTTCCGTTTTTTGCGGCTGGAGTGAGCTCTGTTATCCATCCTCGCAACCCGATGATCCCTACTGTACACTTCAACTATCGCTACTTTGAGGTCCAAGAATCCGACAATACTGTGCAGGTGGGTTAATTAAGAGTAGGCCTACATCATGAATATTTATCAACTGATAGGTAATATTACACTCTGTGTCCTCCTAAAAATTAGTTGAGTCTTATCTCTCTTTATCTCTCACTGCAGTGGGGGAAGGATTAAAAAATGTAATACATATGACTTCCCCTCAAAATCAACAGGTAAATTCTAACTAGGCCTATTATTGAAAAAGATAATTTAGTTATTTGTGATGCCCCCCCCCCCCCCACCCATACTCATTTATTGAGGCTTTATTTTTACTTAAAATCTAATACTTTATCATGGAAGTCAAGAATTTCCATTTTGAATCTGATAGCTTGTAGTTAGGTTTTGTTTGAATAACTAACTCGAGCTAGAATCCATCCTTTTAACTTCAAGGTAGATGTAGTGGCCTCAGTTCAGAAAGATTTGTTACATTCAGTACCGTAAGTATTCTTGGAAGTAACTACGTATTGTTGGAAATATTTCCGGTTCTTCAAACTTATTTTTCAATAGGAATAAAACCTTTGCTCCCTAACCTACAAGTGAAAAATATTATAAGAACTGGTATTGCTAACAATGTTTTATTTAACTGGCAATTTGATGATCAGTATTACAAAGTAGGACTACTACTTTTGTGTTTCTCAACAATAATTTTTCCTCTCAAAACTTAAACTGTGTCGTTTCAGTGGTGGTTTGGAGGAGGAACAGACTTGACTCCGTATTATCTAAATGAAGAAGACGCCAAGCACTTCCACGGGGAGTTGAAGAAGGCTTGTGATAGGCACGACAAAAGTTATTACGCCCGATTCAAAAAGTGGTGTGACGATTACTTCAATATAACACACAGAGGTTGGCAGTATTATTTTATTTAGTTTTATTGTTGTTTTATACTAGATTGTTTATTTATTTCTCTAAAAGTTCTTTGTTTCCTTTGATTTTGGGTATTTTAGTGAAGCACCCTGTTTGCCAGTTGTTTTGTAGTGTTGAAATATTCTTGACGGATTACCAAATCTCTAAGATCACCTCAATAGTACAATTTTAGTTTCTATTACTCAATAACCTCCTTTCAGTAACAATATATTATTAAAGGTGTTAAATTTCCTTTTAGTACTACTAAAGTGATCCTGTATATTCCTTATGGATTAAGCGTTTCGAGGACTTAGTCCTCATCTTGTACAAGAACATTAAAACTGTCCCTTAGAAAAGGTTGTCAAAAGTTTATATTAGAAACAAGGACTCATATTATATAGGCTACAAACGGAGATATTTACACGATACAAAAAAGTGTAGACCTACAGACAAAATTTTACAATATCCGACCGTGTGCGCACAGTTACAGGTGAAGGTCATGACTGTGATGCGGAAGATGGCCGGGTGTTAAATATGAACAATATATACTCTAAAAACATAAATGTTGGCTTTCCTCAGTAGTCAGTGCTAACAAAGGTAGCTAATATACAATTTGTATATTTTTTTTAGCGATAAAAAAGTTACATTATGGTAGCTTAAGCAGAATCTTTAAATGTACCTAGTCAATCTTCACATTTTTCAGGGGAAAGGCGAGGGGTAGGAGGAATATTCTTTGACGATTTGGACTCGCCTTCACAAGAAAAAGCATTTCAATTTGTGAAATCATGTGCTGAAGCTGTCACACCTTCGTATCTACCTTTGGGTATGTTTAATGTTATATCAATTTTTTTGTGTGTGTGTTTTTTATGTGAATTAGAACGCATTCATTCTCACCACTTACGTAGCGGGCATGGCATAGGTTACAGTTTTTTATAGTATTTTTGACACTCCTCTAAGTTCACTTACAGACGAAATATAATCCCAAGTGAACATAACTCCAGCATTGAAATATTCCAAACACTCGGTACTCATAGCTAAACTTTTGCAAGTCATCACGTATCTTACTTAGCAGGTACAGTCAGTGCAACAAGTGAGAGGCAGACTATATAACAGTACAGTAGAACCTTTGGATTGATAACAAGACCCTCGATAACAAGTCCAAGTCACCCTTGATAACAAGTGTCGTTTTCAAATACTCTTAACTTTTGATTAGCCCTAATCACATTCTTGCAGACCTCAATAATAAGACAATCTTGATTAAAAGTCTTATTTACTAAGACGCATGAGAGACCTGTTAATAAGGTTGAGACTATATAAATCTTGAACATTTTATTTCTTAAAAGGTTATAAAACGAGTAGTTAAACCAACTGTCACCGATCTAATGGCTACAATGTTTGCATCTATATACAAATTCAAAATGTTTATTATTAGGAGCATCTTGGATGATTTTATTTTAGTAGAGTTATTTAGTAATTTATTTACAAATTTCATTTTTAATGTAGTACACTTTTTGAAACAACCAGTAATTATTCATCATAACTTTAAAATACTTCCCTCTACAGTGAAGAAGCACAAGAACGATGGATACGGTTACGCGGAGCGCCAGTGGCAGTTGTTGCGCCGTGGACGCTACGTCGAGTTCAACCTCATCTACGACCGAGGCACCAAGTTCGGCCTCTACACTCCGGGCGCCAGATACGAGAGCATCCTCATGTCTTTACCACTTAATGCTGTAAGTATGATACTTTGGAGTTTACAAAGTGCAACAAGATTAGAAAATCAAGTCATCCAACCTTGACAATGAAAATACTGCATTAGAAAGTTACAACTGTAGAAATTAATTATATTACAGAATTTCACATATAGGCTACTATTGCTGTTATGTTAATTTAACAATTGACACCTTATTAAATTTTTTTAATAGCCAAATTTAAAGCAGATATATCCAAAACTATTTCTCATAAAAAAAGTACATTTTAGTCATTAGAAAACTAATGTGGTTTTAAGAGCATATTTTTTAGTGTGTTCTATTGTTACTTTTGTTTTGAGGGATGGTTTAAACCCACCTGAGAACCATAACTCAGATCATTAAAAACAAAATGGCTGCAATTAAAATGTAAAATAATAACGTACATCTTATGTTCTCTATGATTGCAAAATGACACTTGAAAACTGAAAGCACAAAACAGTCCTTTATATTTTTGGTACTCTTCTGTGGTAGGCCTACTAAATACATTAGAATCTCTTATATCCACCACACCAGGTTAGGTTAGGTTATTTGCACGTAAAAAATACATTAACTTTTTCCGGTAAATAAATATTTGGTTACTTAACACGTTCGCTGCGAGAATCCCTTTGGCAGTTCGGTCGGAAATGCGGCGCAGCCTCGGTGCGCCATTGAATCAGCGAACGCAATAGCATTAAAATATTTCAGTCTTAACAGTGGTGGTGATGGTGCTGTGTTACCCCGAGAGTGGACATAGTTCACTGAAAAACTCACAGATAGCAGCACTGCCTGGATCCGTAGCCAGTGTCTTTGTTATGTGGATCGAAGAGAGAAAATCCCTGAAAACAGGACAAAAACGTTGCCAGACGGGATTTTACGGGAAATTTTACTACCAACCATCGTTTAGTTGATCCCCGATAAATGCGGAGGTCACAATAGACCAACTTGTATAACACTGCACTCCGACCGGAGTCGTACGCACGCTGTGCCAGTACGGCATGACTCCGATAGGAGTCGTCAGCAGCGAACGTGTTAACCTAATCTAACTTGGTGGTGGTCGGTATAACATAAGAGTGCCAGATTTTTATCCAAAAAAATATACCCATTCGGTTTTATAGGTTCAGTGTAGGCCGTAACTGTTCTCAATTTTTTTATTTTTGAGGTTTTGAAAATTTTAACTTAATAATTTTATTTTGTTTATACTATTTTCCTGAGACCAAATAAAAATAGTTTTAATTTATGTATTCAATCTGTCCTAAAACTCCCAAGTTTTATTTGCAGCACCCCTAGATGCATACTTTCAGTAAAAAAAATAATTTTATCGACCCTCTTTTTACAGTTTTCTAAATATCTTTTTTTTTCAGAAATGGGAGTACATGCACATCCCTGACCCAAACAGCAAAGAGGGTAAGTTAGTTGAAGTACTGAAGAACCCACGAGACTGGTTGGGTATCGGAGAATCTACAAGATCAGCTGGTTAAGCTTGAGATCAACATGCCATCTGATTTAGAGCAATTGGTTAAGATGAAAACTGTACAGTATGATACAAATTTTATTCTTGTTTTCAGACCTTTACAGATTATTTACTTCCGGGGCCGAGATTTATTTTTAAGTGCCCAAACATGTGCATACATTAGCAATATATTTGCAAACTCAATGCATCTTTGTTTTTATCATAAATATTAACCCTCCTGGTGTCAGTTATTTTGTGTGTCGTGTCGGTCGATTTTTGGGCAAGATCATGGGAAGTGTAGCTGTTTTACGTATGACGTCACCACCTCCCTCCCCCTCTTCTACCAACCACAGATCTCGACCATAACTATTTTTCCCAGCCTTACGGTCAGCATCAGTAATGTTAAGTATTATCTTTTAACCCATTGGTGGATGACAATCTCATTGCCATTTCCAACATTAGCTGCTTAACACACCAGAGCGTTTCACTGATGATGCATCTATATCGATGACACTGGGAGGGTTAAGGGTCAACATTGTAGGCTGTATTACATTACAGTATATGATTTTAACATATCATAGTGGTGATTTACTATCAATAAAACAGAGATTAACAAACAATATTGCTAAAAAAAAGTAAACACTCTTCATTCATTTTTTATATTAGTTCATAAGTATTCAAAAGTGACAAACATTTCCAATATTTAACACATAAGACTGTGCCTTTTTAGACTAGATAAGTGGTTGAATTCCTTGAAGACATTGTACAAAATTGTAACAAAGGATACATGATGTTACATCATATAGTTTAATTGTTTAAAAGTATCATAAGTATCATATTAAAATATCATAAGTATGTATCATATAGATTAAAGCATTTTACTGTCAATGGAGCCAATTATGTTGGAATCGTACTTATTTGTTGCATTGTACATACAGTATATTATGATGAGTTTTAAATTTTATATTTAATGTTAAGAATAAATTTGTTTTAAAATGTTTATAAGTGTTTTCTTCATCCTTTAATTTAATTTGAGTAAGGGAATAGTTATTTGTGCAACTAGTGAGAAAAGTGAGCAATTGACTCACTCGAGAGAAATTCTTACTCACGGGCCGTAGGCGAGTGAGGAATGGTTTCTCGAGTGAGGCAATTGTACTTTGAACTCGAGTTGCACATTATACTTTTCCTACAGTTACCATAAAACAAATAAATTGGTGAAGAAACATAACCTATTTTTACACAGAAGTGAACTTTTAACATAACATTTAATGTGAAGTGACAAATACAACAGTACAACAACTGACCAGCTGATTTACAGCCAGTGCTGCCAACGTATTTCGCGCGCATACGACGTTGCCTGCATGTTACGCGCTCACTATTTTGTGCCTTCACGTTGCAAATCTGGAGTGAGACAAAGTAATTAGAGTGAGACAATGTTAACATTGTCTCACTGATGAGCGAATTGGCCACTTTGCTTTCTCAAACCAGTGAGAGAACATGAACATTGTTAGGTAACTGTAGAAAAAAAATTAAATCTGTAATTTTTACGATAAGCAAAATCAACTCTACAGATTATTTTGTTCTTCAAAACTAACTACAATATGTAGATTTCTACATTTACCTTTATTTTCAATACATACTGAACAAAATTCAAGCCTTAAATATACAAGTATAGGATGTAACAAAGAAAAGAAACAATCCATCAATAAACAATTATTTGTCCAATAGTATTATGATCGAAGAGTGAAGTGCAAAGTTTATATGAGAGAAAACCATTTAGTCAACATAACCATGCTCAGATCAATTTAAAATATGAAACAAACATGAAAAACAGGCGTTAATTTTACTGAGGGGGTAAGAAGTCTACCTACACTATTTAAAGTTAATAATATAATTCAGATTAGGAAAGAGTCAATTTATAAAGTCTGTTGTTGGATTTACCGGATTTTAGCAAGAAAACTGGTACTAAGGAAATAATTGATAATGTAGGTTTCAGTTTATTGGTGGGTATGCAATTATTTCACTGTGATCGTGAGAGACAAAGATGATAATGTATTTTGGATTGTAGAAGATGCTCTTAATTTTGACGAGACCATAGGAGACAATGCCTTTGCGATCACCGGAGACTTTACCTGCAATAACCCATGTAAATAACAAAATCCTACCATTACTAATAATAAACCTTACATAAAGAAACTGGTCATTATTGTGGCTTCAGCTAAATGGGTAGTTTTTTAAAACTGGCAATGAATGGGTAAAACAAAACAGAACCAATAAAAATTGTAATCAACAGATGTGTCTAAATACTTATCCTTGATAAAGTGATGACTAATACACTAACTTTCTCAGGGATAAAAATAGCTGTAAAAATGTTCATTTTGAAAGGAATTGTGTTTTTGGTGGTTACCCAAACAACTCACAGAAGAGCACAAAGGAAAAAGGTTCTCACAGCCATTTTAAGAATTTTGCGCTCCATAACCCATTCATTTCTACACTTTACTCTCACTCATTGCGCTTGCGCCATAACTTTCAGTCATCTGTCGGCATCATATGTTTTTCTTGTAATCAAAAAACATATTACAGACCTTTTCTCACACACAGCGGGAGATTTAACTATAAGAACAATTTAGTGAACACAGCAAAACGTACACATCATCAGCTAATTGAACGTTTGAAATGTAAACATGAGCTGTAAATGTTGTCATTCTGTCACAAAGATGTCAGTTAGCAGTGAGAAACTGTGGAGCTATTTGCAAATACGACCCTTACTTAAAAAACGACACTCGTATAATCTGTATTAGTCAACATAAACACACCATTTGCGTTAACATCTATTCATTCAAATTTCAAACCAATCCAGGGTGTCCACAGAAATTTTGTCATTAATTTCCCTGACTTTCCATGACTATCCATGACCATTAACCATTGATTTCCATGACTCACGAACTTTACTCGAAAATTATAATATACTGTAAACACACAAATAATACTGCCTAGACAGAAAATATTGAAATACGTATTAACAAATAACAATGGCGTACAACAATGAACTAAATACAAACTCAAAACCCATAAACTAAGACAACTGTATAAATTGAATTGTCGTATATTTGTGAAAAATTCAGAAAAATGCTACAATAGCTCGGGTTACGGCTGACTAGATCATTGAAAGGACCCCTGAAATCCATCCTTCATTGGTGATTTCTATGACTTCCCATGACTTTTTGCCTATTTCTATGACTGTCAATGACCAGAATTTTTTTCCATGACTTTCCATGACTATCCCTGACTTTCCAGAATGTGGACACCCTGCAATCATAGCTATATTCATTGGTTTCGTTTTAGCTGATTTCAGTTCCAAACAGTTTACACAAGACCGATTAAACTCTAGGGAGTTAGGAAAGTAAAAAAACAAATCTACAAAACGTACAAATATAATTACTCGTCATCGTCAAACAGTGACTCGATGAGGTTCTGGCTGGTCTCCTGGTTGAACAGGTGGTTCCACTCCTCCTCACTGACAGCGCAGCCGAGCACGTAACGGACAGCAAGGTTGTGCAGCTCGTCCACGGGGAAGGTGACAGCTGCGGACGAGTCACCAGGGTCGAACGACTCATGGTCCGGGTGCCACAGTGACCACTGCTTGTAGTGGAACATCGCCTCTTTGTCTCCTAAACAGGGCAAACTCCTGTAATCTCCCCACAGTCACAAAGTGGAGATCCAAAACTGATTCCTCAGTTGCTATTTGTTGCCATATCAAATCAAATTGTCAAGCACAGAAACTATTGTGTAACTCTTCTATAGTTGATGTGTAAACAGAAAATAAACAAGGAATTATCAGATTCCTACAGAAGTTTTAGATTATCTACTGTATGATGCTCAATATGAATAGCTCACATAAAAGTGTTGTCATCAATTGTAAAATATACTGCTGCTAGTTTTACCTTACCTGGTTTGTACGCAAGAGATCTACGGAAGTAGTGAACTGCATCTGAAGAGTTGCTAATCTTGGCTTTGCGTAACATGACACGACACAGCAGCCAATCACACAGCTGCATGTCAGTCTCACACTTAGCCTGTTCTCTCCACTCAGACAACGCATTCTGACATCTGGAACCAAATGTAGTATCAAATAAGCCCTAGTAATGAAAAAGACTTTTAACAAATTAAAGTTTGACTCAAACCAGTAGTGAACAGAACAAACGGACCACCTAAAAATAGCACAGGTGTTTAAATTTTGTATTTGTATAGACATGATCCAGAAAAAAAATTTCATAGTGTTAAAAAATTAACAAGTACCAGTATCTTGATGCAAAAAAGTGTGTGAAACGAATGTATATTCTGCTGTTTTAAAGGAGCTTTGAATATTGACTCAATTTAAATTAAGGATTTAAGGATTTAATGAGAGCAGCAAGCTTAACTGCACAGATTGCTTACGCACTCTTTCCCATTCAGCCTCAATTTAACCCCTCTAATTTGCAGAGGTCCTATACTAAAAATCTAGACCATTGACCACTATGTTACACCCTCAATTGAAATCAATTCGAACTTATCCTGATAGTTAAACTGAATGGCTAGGTAGACTCTTAAATCAACTATCATTTACCTATTTAGTTCTTCAAGTGCTTTCCTCTTGTTGCCAGCAGCTACAAGAAGGTCAGCAAGCAGCACTAGAGTGATGACATCATCTTCCTGTGTGTATAGGTAATCCTCCCACACACTACATTTACCACCAGAGTGTGGCAGATGATCTTTGATCAGCTGACGACACAGCTGTTCACCTCCTACAATCATATGGGCTGATTAATTCGCATGACAGTGCCTAAGCCGTTTCCCAGGTTAGAATAGGATGATGACTCAGTCCCTGATGGCCAAGTTGAACCCAACCAACTTTACTGCTTGGGTGTTCACTACTTTGTGGAACATGTGTTCTTCCACTGTCCACATTGTGATATGACTGGAGGCCACTCAACAACTTAGGGCAGTGTTTCCCAACCTTTTTCCGTTCAGGGCACACTAACTAGAACAAGTTTGTAGTCACGGCACACTTGTCTACAAAATATCGTTGGTTAAAATTACATTTAGTAAGTGCATAAAAACTCTTTTTTTCAATTAAATCTTACTCCGTAAAACCTAGTTTTTACTAGTAAATATATATATATACAGTATATATAAGGTAAAAAATATAAAACTCACATTTTTGTTATCTAACATGCTTACATTATTTAGTGTTTATTAAGTGGGAAGTTTTAAATAATAATAAAACATTGAGCTTGATTAAAATGTTGTATGAATTTACCAATAATGAGTGAGAAATATTTAATAAACCCTGGTTTGAGTTCTAGTGGGAAATTTGTGCTTGACGCTTGCTCATTAAAAGTTTCTTTCTTGATCAAAAATTGTTTAACTACTTAAAATTTCACGGCACACCTACAGAGGCCTCCCGGCACACCAGTGTGCCACGGCACACTGGTTGGGAAACACTGACTTAGGGTGCTGTCGGTTCAATTGATTTGTAAAATCATGATGCAGGGGGAGAAGAAATTTGGTTGCACTTCCAAACCTCCAAGTAGAAACTAAAGACCTAGATTGGATTGCAGTCTAGGTTGTGTAAGAAATGAACGGTTGAACATGAAGTGAGGCCTTTGGGCACAAGCATACTCGCTCTAGTTCTGAATAAGAGCAACAATTGTTCCCAAGATAGTGTCCGAAGAGTACGAAGGTTTTTAATGGGTAGTCTATTGGTCTTAAAGCCAGGAGTCCCACACTACAAACTGGCCACCCGTGTGTGTAAGTAAACACATTTTTCATCATATTGCTTTGAATACAAGCATTGCGGATCTAAAGTAGCGCAGTAGCTCTTTTACTCCCTAGGGTAAAATAAACTC